AATGATTCCAGCCACAAAGACTGCTTTATCACATAAATGAGTTAGGACTAGCTTAGCCTGTAAATGAAAGACAGTGCCGGTTCGAGAAAAAGAAATAAATCCGTAATGAATGCTGCAGACTGGTGTCTTCAGAATCATCGGGCTGCCTACCACCATCTCCTCCAAGAAATCAAAGCAGAACTTGTCATAGCAGCATTACATCCACTTCCAACAGCCACAGCGAGGGTGAATCTAAACACAGGCTGGAATCTCCCAAGGTCTCCCAACCTCTTCTCAACAGCAGCAGCAAAAAAGGGTTGCCTGAATTAAGACCCTTTTGTTTGAGAATGTGCTAGAGTCTTAGACAGAAGTTGAGAGATCCGCAACGATTATTAAAAGATGACAAGACTTTCCTAAAACAAAGAACTTGCATTCGTTTCGGAGTGTGCGTGTGGACTGCTCAGCACCACAACATTCTCTGCACAGGTCTGTGGGACCACTTTTGTGCTACACAGACCTCTACAGAGCGCGGTCCCCTACGATTGTGATTCACTCCTGGAATGAAATATATTGCATCTTTAAGCATAGGGGTAATTCCGCTTAAGTAGTAGAGCTGAGACTTTCAATTAGACAAGGTGCTTAACAATGGCAAATTACAGACACCCAGATGCCAGATTATCTTTGGCATTAATTAGGGAGAGATTTAGAGCTTACTTTCATTTTTTAATACCACTGGCTTGCTGAAACACAGAGCTTTTGAGAGGTAAAGCACGTGGCAGAGAACTCAAGTGCCAAACACATGTGGAGCTCCACCCAGCTCAACAATATAATGTACACACACTTTTTCTGTGTTCATGAAATAAAGAAATGAAAAAAAAACCAAAAGTCTATCTACACAAAACGAGCACTCAGTCAAGAACTCAAAGCTGCAGTATGTTCCTCCCTGCCCCTAGATGGTGAAACAAGAAGCAGCAAGATGCAAAAAACCAAAGTACTAAGCTCTAGCTAGGTGACCCCACCCAAAGCCACAAGGGCTAGGAGGGACGCCCTTCCCACACATCATACACTTGTCTTTAAATCACAGAAGCTGATTTGTAGCAGCATCTGCTGCTAGACATAAAACAGTTGTGGCAAAATCTGATTTGCTTGTTAGACCAAAAACAGTAGCCACAAAACCTGATTTGCTTGTCTTTTTTTTTTTTCCCCAAGACATATTTCAAATGCTTCCAACTGAAGATCAAGACCCCTCATCCACACAACAGTAAGGTCTTGGTTGTCTGATGCTTGGGTACCCCACACGTAATGGACATTGTATTTGTGAGCAAAGAACTGCACACTTATGAACACCAGCTGCTACTGAAGGTGCTGTGTATTAAACTTCAACAAAATTTACAGTGTGGTGAGTCTATAGAAAAAAAGCCCTTTGTATTCCTCAGAAAATCCAGCAAATGACAACCGTAAACGGGAAATGAGAAGTTCAGATTGTAGAAAACTGGAAGTATTTTACCTGTTATCTCTCTCACTGTTTGGAAGATATTTAATTTCTCTGGATTGATTGCGGCAATTGTGTGATATGGGTCCCTGAAAGATAAAAAGAACAAAATATGATATGCTGAATAAAGAAAGAACAAGTTCTCAAAGCTCTGTCACGTAGAAAGCAGTAGTCAGGAAGTTGACACTGTTTTTAGGCAGCGTATGCTCCAAATACCATATATACCCTATATATTAACCCCCTGTTTAAGGGCCAAATGTCTGATATGCTTTATCAACACAGGAAACTGTAGAACAATCCAGGCATCTTCTACAATTCTTATTAGCAGGGGCAGGATTTTTCAGTATAACAGGAACAGATGGATTTTACAGCTCCAAGACCGAGAGTTTCAGCTCATCGTGAAACTGGAGGTGGGCAACAAACGGGAAGATCAGAAGCTGGTGAGCACTGAGGGCTTGTTGCTCCTGCTGCAAGTCACGAGGGAAGAAGGAGGCAGCACTTAGCGCTAGCTGGGGCCACCCATCCTTAAACCACGGTTCTCTTTGGTAATCCCACCCCTTCACAGGCAGCAACACAAGCAGAGTGCACCTTGGCTTTTTAGCACTCCAACCAGAGGCAACCAGTAGAGAGAAGGCAGTAGAGAGAAAGACAGGATACAGAATCACAAAAGTACGACAGGATCAACTGTAACAGTACAGTTCCCCATGGAAACAAACAAAATAATTCACTTGGCATCTTTCACTGAAGTTATTCTCTGCCACTACAAAAAGTCTTTCAATTCCCCACAGAGTGATAAGACTTTAAGTCTCTACAATCTGAAGCATTGAAAACTCACTGCAGTTCTCTCTGAGTGAACAAACTTGTACGAGAAGTTAACGAAAAGCTGAACTGGAATATGTATTACTGTTGTTCCCCTGCAGTGTCCTATAAACTATTTGTGTAGCTAGTGTCATTTTTTTAATTTCCTGTGTTGTTGATTTGCAAAACGTAACAAAAAAAATCAAACAAGAAGCTGTTCCAGAAATGTGAAGTTACTTTAATTACTTTTCAAATCCTCTTATTTTAATACATACTGCTGTAATTTATGCTGTGGAACAAATTAGAGTTGCAGAAATCAGTGTCCTCATGCTTAAGACTTGTTGGAGGGAGTTTTCTTCACGAAGAATGAGAGACAAGGTGCTACATAGTTCCAAGACAACACATCCTAGGCCTACATTCTTGTTTTAAAACAGAAAAAGGTCTTCTAACTCTCTGCTTAATAGTCCATAGTTTAGGTATTTTTCAGATGAATATGATTTTATTCAAGGTTGTGTTTGGTTCCTTTAACTCTGAAAGGTTTTTTTAATGAGACTCATCTTGTAACTTTGCAGCTCATATAACTTTTGCAACAAAAGCAGTTCTAACATCCAAAATTACGTTTCATGTAATGCACTGGAATAATGCACACAAAAATTGCTTGTGTCCTCTGGCTTCTTGTCTGGCGTTTCCCAGTGTACTTCCTGTTCTGTGAGATTTAATAGATTCTCAGTCGGTCACCTGGCCAGATCAGAAAGTATGGCAGCCTGAGCCCTGACTCCTGTGTGACCTTCTCCAGGGTTTCAACAAGTTTGAAGCAGCATTTCCTTAAACCACCTGAATCAAAGTCCTATGCTACATTAACCTTTCACATCGTACTCTTCACTGGAGAGATGAGAAGAGGAGCTACACAGTCAAAGCTCACATTTGTTGCCCTTTTGAGAATCACTGAGCTGTAGGGCCCCACTGAAGTGGATTTTTTTCAACCGTCTTTCTCATGGCTGGAGTTAAGTTGTAGGTGAAGCATTATAACCAATTGCTATATCAAATCAAGGAAATAAGTAATTTCTTTCCATCTCACCTAATAGAGAAATTTAACCCAGGCAGCTCAGCATCAACCACTTCATTATAATGTAAATATATCTGAATCTATAAAAGGACTATAGAAATATCTCCCGGCACTACTCGTGCCAGAATTCCGTTTCAGATCAATCTGCAGACATTCCACTAATCACATTTTCGCTAGGCCACAAAGCTGCAAACATGGAGTTGGTTTCAAAATGCACTGAAGATACCAAATCTTGACAAGGAGTTGCCAGCACTGTTTAAAGCTCCCAGGAACTTAAAAAGCAAGTTAAAATTTGAAGCCTGTGCAGTGGCACAAGCAATTGAGTATTTCATACTCTTAATTTCCCATATCTGTATACTTTTTCCAATGAAAGGGCAAAAGGGTCTAATCTTATGTGTGCATTTTGAGGATTTTGCTCATTTTAATAGGTCCAGAAAACACATAATCACCATGGCTGATTACAACGTGAAGGCCTGAATTAACATGAATTAACATCATAGGTGTGTTCTCTCAATGAATACGATGCAGGACTGTGGCCAGCTGCCTAGGACCTCAGCCGAATACCCAAGCGGAGCATGTCTGTCTGCCCTGGGGACATCCCACCCCTGCAGCATTTGCTTTGTGCATCCACCTTTGCTCCAGTGACAAACACACAGTGCACCGCCCTGTGAACAGCAAGGCACCCGTTACCTGGCTGGTGTATTTGCCTTTAGAAGGAAACACTGGCGAGCCTTTTAAATATTGTTCTGCACTGCCACATCTTCAGCCGTTACTAAGACTTGTTCAGTATACAGCCATATTTTAACCAAAATACTGGATTTAAATACCAGTGAGTTTTGCGCATCTCTGCAACTGAAACTTCAACCTGTACTTCAAAACTAATGGACAAGAGGGCAGCTTTTTGGCATGTGTAGGCAGTGACAGCCACCCAGGCTAAGACAACTGATGCCAGGTGAGGCACTCTGACTGCATATTCTCCACATTAGACTGCTGATCATATGAAACTTAAACAAACTAACAGAAGATAACTTCCCTTTCTCCCTGCTCTAATCAGCTGTTACCATAAGCCAGTACTGCAGATCTCATAAAGCAACCAAATATCACAGTTGTCTTTTCTCTTTCTAGTGTAAACAGTCTACTTCATCCTTTTTTTTCCTAGGGCTTGAATCACAAGAATCAGGGTAACAGTTTCCTTCATAATGGAAGACAGGAAGCTACTTTATCCTGGATCTCCTATTCTGTAAAAGAAGCCTGCAGCCATCATTAAGAGGAAGATGCAATTCGTTTCAGCTGGCACCATGACTTAATGTCTTAATATTTTGTCACTTACCCATGAATCCCAGTAACAAGGAAGATAAGGTTGCCATTGATCTTGGTACAGTTTATGAACTTGTCAATGTTGCTGGAATCCACCGTCTGGGCTGACACTAAACTCCCTGTTCCAATGCCATCGCACGCTGTCAAAATAAGGAGTTTGTGTGAAGAACTAGGAAAAACAATTACTGAATCAGAACATGAACCTAGACAGGACTCTGTTTCTTTCAGAGATAAAGCAACATAGAGGCGTTAAAACGTCACCTTCTACATATACTCCCAAAGCAGCATGGGCCAATTTAAAACAAACAATAATCTAAAGTGCGTGCCACAGAAGCTCATCCTGGCACACGGGTTAGGGTATTTCACACTGGACCTCAACGCAAGTATGAGCCACAGAAAATCCCACTCAAGCCAGCCGTAAACAGACAGTTGATACCTTAGCTCAGACTAGCCTCGTGGCCGTACCCTTTATTTGCACAGGACTCACTATAGAATCCGAGGCGTCCTAACACTGTGAGCTCAACAGGTCCCCTTTGCTCTGCTGGATTTTTGAACTTAACCATTCACATGCCATAAGGTTCTTTGGAAAGGACATATTAATAATTCTTTACTCATCATCCCAACAAGTTACTGGGGCCTGAAGATACTTTGGTAGCTAGCGAGGAAAATTCTTTACCCTGCCTGCGTAATTTAGTTCCACTTTCTGGGAACACATGATGCATCCAGGAACAAATCCTTCCTGATTCCACCATGTATCCTATCACCCTAACTGGGCTCCTCTAACAGCAACTACCAGCAGCACACGTGAAACTTTTACAAACATCTGGCAACTTTCCTCCTCACAGAGTAAGGCTAAGAGCTTGACAGGAACACTACACATACACTTTCATGCATAAAACTAATTATCCAGCAAAAAGGTTAGTAACTGCAACTAGGTTAAAGGAACAGACATGGCCTTCACTTAGAATTCAGCATGTCAGTACCCTGCCTTGGCAGGGATCTCTGTGTCTGACTATTTCAGCCATGTGGAGTGACTGTTGGTTTATAGAGTTTTTCAGTAGCTCCATCGTGAATTCCCTTCCAGATGTGACTTCCACTCAGACTGAAAAGTGGCACAGGCCCCACATGGGAAAACTTAGGGGGCTTTGCTCCCCAGGCCTTCCAACAGGGAGCAGAAGATCTCCCTAGAGGAGCTTGGGACAGGAAAGTAACCTATAGCTTTCAGTCTTCTCAACAGCATCATCACTGAAAACTTTTCGTCTATGTTTTTCACACAGTTAGAAAGTAGGTAGAAGATTCTGGGAAAACAGAGACATTTTAAAAAAACAGAGGAAATGAATGGAAACCTAAAGCTGCATTTCCAAGTATGAGAAATACCACATGTAGAAGCCAGGGCTTAAGCATGGTCCCCTTTGGAATGACAGAAAGACAGCTCTAAACTGCCTCCAGGAAATACTTGTTATTAAAATAACACAATAAAGAATTCTTTCATATTTCTCTAAAACCAACAGAGAAACTCCCTCCATTTTATCTAATAGAAAAATAACTGGTTTTGTTATATTACCGTTACAACTTAAGAAATTGTCATTCTGTTGTATACATTATGTCACACACAGCCCGCATACCTCCAGTTTCCGTGGGTATGGAAGGGCTATTCATATTCTACAACGTACTCATGAAGGGTATTTCATGCCAAAATAACACCCTTCTCTTCTTCTACTACAGTCAAGAAAATTTATATTAAACTACTGCGTACCTTTAGGACAAATGTCAGTGCAGGGCTTGCACATCTTAATGCCATTTTCTTCAACCTCCATCTTGGAGCTCGGACACGCACGGACACAAGAGCTGGAATCTACCACAAAGTTGTCTGCAGAGAAAAAGAAGATATTGGCAGAAAGCAAACCACTGGACTAAAAAATACCAGGACGTGCCAATACTTATGGTATTAATTACCTCCGTGCCTCCACACTGCCATTAATATTTAATGCTCAGTGTTTTCAAACGTATATAAGCAAAAAGAGTAGATGAAGTCTTATGAAAATCCATGAAGTGTCAGACCTGATTCCCTTTCTTCCCCCAATTTGGCTTTACTATTCTTTGCAGTAAAAAAAGCTACAGTAATCGAAAAGAAATGAAACAAGATGCACTGCCCTGTCTCCTTCATATACACACTAACATATACGTCTGGGATAATAAAACACTGCAAAAGACAATGACAAGTATTTCAATTTTCCCTTGTAAAACAACTGCCTAAGGGGATATAGACTGATCCTACCTAATTGAAAGCTTAATGCTGTCAAGAAAGGGAAAAAAAGTTCAATGAAGTATTTGGACAGAGAATCATATCCCTTAAGCAGGGCATGCTTTGTAAAAAAAATAAACAGATTCTTTTGCTTCATAAACCCCACCACTCTATTACAGACAGAACTACAGAACTAAGCCTTGAGAGTCACAGCCTCAGCCTACTGTCAGTCTGAACACCTCCACTGAGATTCAAAATTTGTATTTTGCTTTGGGTTGAATTATGGTTCCGTTTATTACAGATTACCCATCCTTCTCATAAGTAATTTATGGCTAATTAAAGCACAATGCAACTGAAGACCTTGGTGTGAATGAAAGAGAGAGCAAGAATACTGCTTCCCTTTTTTTTCTTTCTAACTCAAACAGCTGTATCAAAGACTATATAAGTGATGACCCTCTAATTTTTTTTCTGTTACTTGTCATCATCTGTCTGGTATCTCAGAAGCAGGCGTGTTTTCACATGCATGGAATTATTCTTTTTTTAACTCCCTCTCCCCCTCTAATTTTATTCTGGAGTTTTAAAAGACTGTATTGTTGTCAGTACTGCATTGTTTTCCTCATTGGGACAGAATTGCTCAGAAAATATTTATGGTAACTTTCTGTCATCCTATCATTATTCTGAGCATAGAAAAGGGCATCAGTATCATGAAAGCCCTTGGTGCCAGGTAGTACTGGTGGTAGACTATTATTTTGCTGAAATATAAACTTATACCCTTTTACAATCCCACAAACTATTTTAACAGTACATTTTGAAATACACAAATGCTAACCTAAAGCTCAAACAGAACAAGCGGCGGTCATGAAAACAGAAATCTACTGAATTTCCTTTATGAAAAAATCACTATAATACCGGATACTTGGGAAGGGCCAGCAGCCCGGAACGTCACTGCCTTTAGTTAACACATGACTGAGTTATTACAGGCTCCAAGCGCGTGTGGAGAGATTTGAGACACTGCACCGTGCGCTTAACTCTCATTCTCTCGTCGTTCAGTAAGTCTCCTGAAATGCAACTCAAACTTTCCGTCACTGCAGGAAAAGGTAGCTCACACAAAACTTACGTGGGCACTTTTTGACACAAAAAGCCCCATAGGTGTACTTGGCATTGTGATTATGCTCCAGTTGGAAGGTGGTAGGATTGTACACGAAAGTCTGGGGGCACTGTGTGACACATGCGCCACTATCATTGAAATTCATACAGGCCTGCAAAACAAGGAAGACAAAAAAAATTAAATCATATAGCTGCTTTTGTGAGGTTTTTTTTTAAAGAAGTGTAAAATGCAGTCTTGATTGTGTAGACTCACTGCAACAGTGAGGAATGTGATACACAGTTTTCTAACCTTCATTTTGGCTACTTAGATTTCTTGCTAAGTTCTTGGCAAATACGAGTTATAAAAGGGGGCTCACTGAGGCCCCTTAATTTGAAACACTGTTAACTGTTACAGCACTTCCTACAAAACCACAACAACACTGTAATTTGTTTCATAACTATAGTTACTACTAGCAATCAACTAATTTACAACTCTATAGGACATTCTAGAACTGCCAAGAGTGATCAGTTATTTATCATAGTCTAAACAAATGCTAATGACTTTTTCAGAGGTCGGTCCTTTAGATTTCTTACAGCATGAGTCCATCATCCAGCTGAAAAGTGAAATTCCCAATTATTAAGCAGGAGAGGGATAAGAACTTCTTTCGAGCTAGCACAGGAGGGGGTCATTTCCCTAAGCAGTAAGTTTAACAAGGTCAGTTGTTTCACACACAGAGAGAAGAAAATAGGACTTTGTATCACTTAGCATTCAAGCTCAGCCACCCACAGCTGACAGAGGACAGAGCCCTGACAAATGAAGAGGCAAATGTGTGGATAAAGAAAGTAATGGTATGCAGAGAAAATAATTGACCATGCAAGGTTGATAATTAGCAAGAGAAAAACCCTGCTGCTTTTGACAGTCCTTATCACCGAAGATTATGTCTAGGGTTTTAACTATAGCTTATAAAAAACCTGTCGGAGTAATACTCACAAAGAGTACCATAAATGTCAAATTTCCTAAGAATGTGAAAGCTGTAGCCTGGCTTGGAGCCCTCTAGCACTGCTAGAGGATTCTGATTCCTAACTGACCCGTCTTCCAGAAGCCAGGTTGCTTTAGAAGTTTTAGTCTAGGGGTTTATCCTTCTGGTCCTTTCCCAGGTTGTAAAAAATACAGATGGTTTTCAATCTTTAAAGAGTTGACAGGCATAAGAACACGTGCATTGTGTGCTGCTTTTACTAACAGTTCCATCTTCATTCAAATCAGGACCTGCAGGACTGGGGAGATTACTTGTCATCTCAGAAAATTTCAGAAGGGAGAGGTAACCATGGGAGAAGGACAAAATCTGCTGCTGAAAGGGACAAACAGGGAGTTCCATGATGAAGGCGCTCTCCTGTACAGAGCAGTAAGTTCAGCCAAACTGCTGATGCTGTTTTTTCTGGCTCTTTAAAATGTGTATTGCAAAGCATGTCAGTTTCTCACAGAATCAAATGTGAGGTTTTCTGTTATTTTTACAAAGATAAATAGAGTCAGCTACTTCTTTACTAAGAACAGGATGGGAAGTCCACCCTACGCATGTGGTTCCATCCTGGGCACTCACCCAGGTGCTCCTATGCATTTCAAGTTTTAGCTCCAGTTTGGGTTTGAACGTAAGACAGGAACAGCTCTAAAACTCTGGCTGAGCACGTTTGCTTGCAGTTATGTCAGATGATGATCATTGTCTTGCTTTTAGAACTGCATACGCAAATGATTGTATGGCAGCATATGGAGGAGGATAGATGAATTTTATCTAGAAATATTAAAACCGTATTTACAACAGGATGCCGTTGCAGGCTGCCATGATTTGCAACGCTTCATAAACTGTACTTTTGCTTATTAATAAATACTAATTTCACTTGTTTCCTCAACGCATGTTTTTACATCCACTGCTGACTTAAAAGGTACTCCATCATGTACATGACAATCTTCTGACAACGGTTTAGCAAATTCATCAAGCAAAGCACACCAATACTCTTCGGAGAGACAGCACTTCTCAGGAAAAGTTCATCTAGAAGATTTGGGAACTTTTAATTTATAACTGTAATGCTTTGTACACATTTGTAATTGCTTTGATAATATATGCAAACTCCTAGCACTTGGTGCTAAGTGCCGCTAACTTGCGAGTAAAAGCACAGGAAAATACACAGTTCTTGAGCGTTCTTGATACAGTTCTGTATCTCAGCTGAAAGCTAAGCACAGTTGTCTATAGCCTAAAGGGTTACACTTTTCACCCAGTGTGTGCTAAGCAAGTAATGACTAGTCCTGAAAATTGCCAAACCCCTGCTGAATTTCTTTTACATTGCTCTTGGGCCAGGAGAGAATGAGAATAAAGCCCAGGGTGCTTCTCTGCAGGATCAGAACAAACATGCTAGTTGATTTTTAGCACACGTATTTCCATAACTGCCACAATAGAGAAAATCTAACTCATTTCCTTTCAGGCTGCAGTTTTACAGAACTTGTGCCGCAAGTAACTTGTCCTTAACCTTTGAAAATGGGCACACATCAACACATCAGCTTTAAGGATGTTCCTCAACAGCCTTACGGGGACAATAGCTGCATTCTTCCTCTTTCCTTCACTTATTTAGATCATACAGGACCTGGGAAAGAATGTTATTTCCCCATCTCTCTAGTGCAACGGCAACACGGTACCTCCAGTGAGCATCAGATCAGGTGTACCACGTAAGCTGTGCAAAGCCCCTGCCGCTCTAATAAAACCTGTTAGTAGTTAAGTCAGGCCATTGCTGCATTTCATCAGCAACAAAAGAATATAATTTAGAATGTGTTTTTGAAGCACATCACCTACCGTTATCAAACGACATGTGAACAGTGAGCAAGTTGCAGGTTCAGCCAGGGGAAGATTAATTCTTGCTGGTTTGTTAAGATCCACTTGCCCACACTATCAAACCACCTGCAATTTTCCATACCATAATAGCTCTCCTCCCAATGCCACCTGGCAGATTTGAAAAGGAGCCTACCCAGCTTTGTAGGTATTTGTCTCTTCAAACCCTTGGGTACCTTTAAAGATCCACCTCTCTGGGCATGTTCTAGTTCTAAGGCTTCTTTAGGCCTAGGTTTGCTTCCCCTGAAAACATTAGCAAAACTTGTCTCTGCAACCCACCGTGAAAAGCTACACATTTTTCAAGATGAGTGTTGTGTCCTGAAGCTGTTTAGACTATTATAAATAACACACTACAAACAAGACAGGTTCATCTAATTGCCTGTATGTTCAGATTGTCTACTCTTTTAAGTAAAAAGTTAGTCTTCTCCTCTTCTCATCTTAAGGTCACGTAGTAGCATGAATTTGAAGTAGAGTATTTTGGAAATAATATTCCTTCCATCTCCACAAAGAAGCATGCCCAGTAAAAAAGCTGCATTTAAATCAAGTCTGGGAGTAATAGGGAACACCTTTCACAGAGAAGCTAAATTGTATTCTTGACTTTCAAATGAAAAGCACACAGAACAGTAATAAAAGCTGTGCTCAAATGTAATGATAAATACTTCTAAAAATTCCCTATCACCTCTAAAAGTTAATTTCAGAAAAGTGAATGATAAAAATCACAGAGATTAGCATATTAATAGTTCCCAATCTGTATTTACAAATCTCATAAATCTGTTAATGGGCAATATTAAGCAGATAAGTGATGTTAATATAATGTGAAAAATGCTAAAATTTGCAGTCTAAATCTGGGAGTGTATATGCAATACATTAAAAGGTTCAAAATTGTGAATTTCATGGATTAAAGCATTAAGAATTTGCAGCGTGACTGCCAGGAACAAGAAGAATGGGAAGTCTCACACATACAAAACAATCAGTGTCTTTAGGTCCGGAACAGCCTCCAGCGCACTCCCGGTGGCAGCAGTCACTGACGTAGGGCCCGTAGCACCGTCCATCACACTGCTCTGCACACACGGTCTTCGTTACTACAAGGGAGCAGGAAAAATTAGCATGTCAGAAGCAGAACTGAGGAGCAAGCTCTTCAACTGCACATTGAGGAAAACAACAAATTGAACAGCATAGCGAAAAACACCCTCAAGTTTTAAGGTAATTGCTTCAACAGTACTACTCACTTGTACACTCCAGAATTCCTCCACGATACCCTCTTTAGGAACATATACGTGGCTCAAGGACTGTGCAGGAAGAACTTTTAAAGCGTTTACTCTTACGCTTGGAAATTCAGGAGGAACATTATGTTCAAATTATTAGTTCTTGTAAACAGCTGATGGAAAGACATGATCCCATTCTCCCACTCCAAATAACAGAAGAGCTCACCAGTTCCGTGTGAGCTTTCCCAGAAAGAACAGCAACACCACGTAAAGGGGTGAAATTCAGAGCCAAATGCTCTTCTTGATAGAACAAGAAATAGGCAATGAGATAAAAGAACCTGCAGATTGCAACACATTTGGAAACACCACTTACCTTTCCTAAATAACACAATCCAGCCTTCATTCACAGGGAAACAACTGTACTCTACCAACTGGAGAGCACAGTGATTTAAGTGGTACCACACTGCTGTGCCTCAGGGCTTAGCTCCGTGTAAAGAATGGTCATCAAGTTGAGCACCTTCCTCCCCTCACTCAGCTATAGCCTCAATCTTTATTTTATGGAAAAAGAAATTGATATTATCCATAAGACTATATGAACCTCTGTCTACAGAATGTGCTGTGAGCTGTCTTTTCATAAACACAAGGATATTACACTTCTGTAATTAACCTTTACCATTTATTTTGTTAAAAGCATTTAATTACTTCTCTGTGAAAAACACTTTGCAAGAAGCCAGAGAATGCAAAATTCCACTCAACTTTCTGCTCAGTTCTACCATTTAATGGATTGGTAACTCCTTTATAAGTACTTTCCAAACCAAATTCCCTCCACTACTTGCCAGAGATACTTTAGGTAATGCCACAGCTTCTTGATATACACAATATTTATTTAGGACATAAGAATGTAAATAACCAAAGAAAAATCATCATTTATAATCTACACAATAAAATGATGCACCTTATTCCATCTTGATGATACCAGAGGCAAACCCCCAGACAGAAAACATTTCCGTGTCTTATGCAACCTCATCTACAAAATGTCTGTAAATGCACTTGCTGCCAACACTGTTAGAGAACCAGGATTTGCTTATTTAAGTAACAGTCTCCATAAATGTTAGGACAGAGACATAGAACAGGGGCATAATCAGGCAAAACATGTCACACCACCCTGCTAGCTGTCAGGGACAGAGCCTCAGCTCACAAAAACGAATGAAGCCCTCGTTTAGTGAGCGACTTGTACAGTTCTCTGCCAGCTCAGGAACTGGCCTGCAGCGCCTTGCTTTGCACCCACTATTTGCTTTGGCCTCAAAGGGTGGCAAGGCCCAGATTTATCCTGACTTGCCAGAGGACCCTATTTCCCAGAGGCTCCTCCTCTCCTGCCGGCGGAGAGGACCCTTATTTCATGCTGTCCCACCGCTCCAGGCCGCTGTGTTTCCCTGTGCCTCTCCTCAAACACTGAGCAGGCCTCAGAGCCGAGCGGGCACCACCTCCCTTCCCTCACTTGTTAAAATGACCTCTCCTCTGCCACCACTTGCTGCCCCCCTCTGGCCAGCCTTGCCCCA